ACAATGACAACAAAAATTACTTATGAGTTAAGCTGGAGTTATCTCGAAATTAACACGAATTATGGTAACTAAAGCAGCGAAAGTAAAATCAAAACCGTTTGTTTACATTTTGAATAAAGTAAGTGCAATATAAAAACTGCGAAATCGTGGTGAAACGCATAGAAAAGTTGTGCTGAATTATTATTTAAACAGTCGTCTAAGAAATAACAAAGTAGTAAATCAACAAGGTAAATATCAGTAATTACTAAATTATGTGGCACAGTATGACCTTAAAATGTAGATTTACTTTATGTTATGCCATTTACTGGTCATTTTCATGATCGTTTTAGTTCTTTGCAACATATGGCATCTTTAGTGGACAACTGACAGCTTTAGGTTCTTACTTACTCCATTTGTGTCTTCACTACGAAGCCCCTGAAGACTTTACGGCATGACGACGTTGTCCATTGACCTCTTTATTCTTATTAGCGAGTCGGCAATGGCACCCATGGTCCGGTTGACCTCCTTAATACGAAGTCTTTTCTACCTGTTGTCACGTAAATTGTCTCCGTGCCTTCCATTTTGGTTTTGTTAACTTGGTAATTGGCATAAACGAGGCCGTTTGAGTCAGGACAGTTTATGTATAGGTCGTATTAATCTGAGATCCTTTATTAGATTTAAGTGATTACTGGATAGAAAAATAGGATACTCTCGTCCCTACCTAGCAGCCACTCATTGATGTCTCCAACTTCTTGTGTACTTGTAAAATCCAGGGATGCTTTATAGCCAACTAGGATGTTGAGTGACTCTTTCACAGCAGACTTGACATGTGCGGCATTAGAATCTAGGGCGAAATGTTCATTGAAGGAAATACAGATGTGGTAGCTGTGGAAGCCGCACCTTGCGTAACAAGCATTAAATGGCTGCTCTCCAAATCACATTAATGGTATATATGAAGGGTTGCTGCTGTAGTTCTCATTGTTTTGCTTTGTATTTAAGGGCACAGAGACACACACACTATACGACGCACTGGTTAGAACAGAATTTCCTGATATCAACATACTGTTGTTGTGCACTTAGGCATAGAAGGACAATGCTCTGGTACAGATATGTAACTAAATTAAGCGGTTGCGCTCCAGTTCTCCTGCACAACAGCTCAGACAACATCTGTGGCATAACACTTACGCTCAAATGACTGTAAACCTTTTTCAGTAATTCATTCACCAATTTATCCCTTATGGTGCCCCTATGTTTGTCCAGTTTGACATTATATAAATAACACATGGGTTTGTGGGTAACAGTAAAAATATCATCCCGAGGAAAATACTGTTACCCGAGGCGTAGCCGAGAGTAACAGTATTTATACGAGGGATGATATTTTTACTGTTACCCACATACCCATGTGTTATTTATTTTATTACCCCGAACAAATACTGTGATGATCTGAATTTCTCAACTAAATCTAACTGTAACAAAAATAAGCCAAGAGAAGCAATAACTAAACTGCCCTTACCTTGCAAGTTTTAAGTGCACTGTAGGCCTACTTGAGAAGATGTTTTTCTTTTATTCCTTAGGCAAGTGATGATATCTACCAGTCATAAACATAAAATAAGCTGTGTTTTGTTCAGAAAACAAAACACTAACCCATTTATAAGGTTATGATCTGTGAAATCTGATCCTTCTGCATCCAGAATATTCTTCGCATAGTTTTTGACAAAGTGCATTTAGAAAATAACGATGATATCCTACATATGTCTGTCCACCAACGCTACTGTATCTGTAACGTTTCACTGGTTAAAATTGTTAAATTATCCTTTGTTGCATGCTTTAATTGTCTGCATGTTCCAGTTTGACACAAAATTATTCACATTACAATTACTTCCGTTGAAAACGGATGTTTCCTGTTGACTATTCAACAAAAAGATATTTAATACGCGAAAGGGACTCTAGGGTGCAAAGAACTAAATTTTATCAGAGTAATATTTACTTCGGCGATGCCCTATCGTCGTAAATAAGAATGAATCGAGAAAAAAATGGCGGCCATTTTATTTCATTTTATTTAGAAAATAGACCACGTGACCAGATTTTATACTGTTAAAAAATACTGTTACCTATGTAACAGTACAAAATTCGTAGTCACGTGGTACACTTGCAATAACAGTAAGAATAACTCCCAGAGGCCTATGGGAAATTAACATTACGAAAAAAGTGAGGGGTAATAAAATGGACTGATCTTTGTTCATCCTTAGGATTACACCCACTTTCCTTGCTGCATGCAACAATCACACTTCTCCTCTCAAAATATAACAAATGGTCTGTACTTCTCTTAGCTTTCGCATTAGGATACGTTTGTGTCGCCTTGTGTGCCTTTAAAACGTTATCTTAGGGTAATGTTTGAAGTTTCGTTCGGCGCCGACCTATAAGCGCAAATAGGCTTCAAAACTACTTGTCCCGCTAATCTTGTCCATCTAGATATGCATTAATCATCTTCAACATTTTAAGATTAAATCTTTGATATCGTTTATTCGTCTTCAGATTCCGCAGTGTGGTCCGATATTTCAAGATTCTATTTCAAAATTGGCACCTTAATTAATGTTGACTGGAAGCGAATAGTCGAATCAAGCAATGAACGCATTAACAATCTTCAGTGCGCAAACATCAGTCTGCTGAGAAGAAACTGCAAACACCTAGGTGTATTTAATGAAATGGTAAGTAAACACTATGGAATATTTGCTGCCATTTTAGTTATCTGCAAAGTACCCAAAACAATCGATGAAAAAACACAAATTGAACACCGCTCGCCAGATGTCCGATCAGTGTTTTTTGAATTCACTTTAGTTCTACATTGGCTGTACAAATATAAGAGACCTTTAACAAAGCTTGATATCATCCGTCAGTTAAAACTAGTTGTCATGAGTCTGTCTACATCACAACATGGCTTATAAACTGTATATAGTAGTCGATGCAATTTGTTTTGTTTGCATATAACTATACATACAGGACTGACAAAACCACATCATCACATTTTCTGGATTCACAGTGGTCCTTGATAATGTCGCTATATCTGTGTCAATATCCTGAGGCTTTGCCATTTTTGCACTGGTTGCTTGGGTCAGCATTTTGCCCTGATGTAACATGCGTTTTGTATTTTCTTGTTAGATATGTTTTTTCTAGTTGCCTGCTGTTACATCTTACCAAGACAATTTCGTTCAATCTACACACCTATGTCTCTACCTCAAAAGACATTTGTCACACTTACAGTTTGAAGTATTAATGTGCATATATTTATTATAATACACAATTCGTGCCCAGACTAATTTTGACATATAAGCACATTTAGAAAAACAAATGTGCCCTTCCAAATCAAAAAGTTTTTTATACGCAAAAGGGGTCTATTTATTACCCCCCCAATTTCAATGTCACATTGATAGTATGAAGGAACATATTCTAACACTAAAATGTTGGACGTACACATTCGTGTCTGGACTGTTACTTTGTCATGCGATGAAGGATTATAAGTAACTATCATTAAATCTTCCACATCAAGACCACATATCGCATCGAATAACCATGGACCTATCCTTAAGTTAGAGACGGAAAGTTTGCTTTAAATATCACTTTGTCTCACAAAAACAATATTAAGTAATAAGTTCCTTTTCTACTTTTTCTCTTTATAATACTGTTCCCTATATTGTCTTAACGTTTTCGGGGGCATTAGTAACTTTTGTGTGATTAATATAACGGTTCACATGTATTCTGTTTCTTGTGTTTTACCATGTATATTTATTCAAATAAGCCTGGTGACTTGTATGATAAACGCATTTATGCACTACCAGTATGTAAGAGATCATTCATGCAAAAGAACAATTTATGGTTTGAGCCACTGGAAATAACGACAAAAAGGGGAAAAATGGAAAAATATTCAGCCAACTTGTGAAGTCTCCCCGTCAGTTTTGAAGCGCATATTTCACTATATCTGCTACATTTGGTTTACATATATTTGCTTTCATAAAAAATGTATCCCGGATAAACATTTATTCTCTACATAAAACCTCTTTTATAAAGAGGAATACAAATGGAGAACATTTTTGTTTATCAACGAATGTAGCACCAAAACTATTTATTACCGGAATTTAGACAAGTCGACAGCTTGGTGCGAAAGGGTTGTATCTCCTTCTTTATCTCATATGAGTTACAACCCTTTCGCACCAAGCGCTTGAAATGAACTATTGAATAAGGGAATCATTTCTGAAGTTGCAATGAAGTTATTATTAAAGGGAAAACAAATCATAAGTCTGTACCTCGCACATGCACCAGTGATACAATTACCAAATTCTTGGCAAATTATTTTTTTGAAGTTTCAAAACAATTAATGTTTGCTCAATTATATATATATGTTCATACTTTCAAATTATTGTTTAAAACATCCTCAATTACAAAACACTACGGATAAACATTTTAAGGTCATCAATTTAAAGCCTTCATTTCCCAAATTTAAGCAAAAAGATATTAATAAACAAATACATAAAAATCAGTAGAAAAACCCATTTGTTTACAAAATAGATATTGAAAACGAATATTAAAATTGTATTTGACATCTATTAACAATCGAAAATATGATCCTAAAGAAAATCACCCTGACTTTTACTACCTGTTAAGTCTGCCTTGCATGGCAATGTAACCAGATGCTTTATACAGTTGTAAAGGTTATTTGTATATGTAATTTCAATTTGTGCAGTCGTATGAAATATTATTTAACAAAATCTTATAATTTTATTTTAAGATTTGACCCTACAATCGTCCATCTACTGATGGACAGTTCATGACTCACTGAAGCTAAAGAGACAAGTGTTGCGTCGGTAAATGTAATTGATCGATAACTATGTAAACCGTTATGCCATACCTTAAAATCCGTAATACCCGACAAAAGGTCAATTATTCAAATGTTTAATTGCATCAGATCAATATTGACAATTCTTTTAATTATGTCTCAGCAACTGGCTAAAACTAAAACTTAAACGATTTTTAAACCAGTTATGCCATACACAGTGATAAGTTTCAGTTTAAATGTACCCAATTGTTGTATAAAATCAATTCATAATGAATCAGTCGCAAATTACAAAATTCGAAAAGACGCTACATTAACTATAAATAGTTAGGGCATCATTAAAAGCAAACTTAAATTTGTTATTGGACAATTTGGAGTCAATCGAATTATTTCTAAAACTTGTGAGCCTAAATTGGAAAAATAATGAACATTTTGAACAATTCACATTTCAAAAATGGTTAACAGTTACGGAAAATCGACTTTATTATTAATTACACAAGTTTGTTTTATAATATTTCTTTGCTTAACAACCCATGATCATCGTGTGGTAAGACCTTTTATATTTTATATTTCTTTTATTTGATGATTTTATTCCAGATTATTACTTATGCTTGAAAAGTTACTATTATTTATGTTCCTGCAATTTGCTACTACTACATGTACAATATAAGCTTTTACCAAATTAAAAACAATCATTTCATTAAAACCTAAGTTTTCAAGATTGTCATATTTTTACAGTTCATAGCCTTGCATGAATGTACACAATTCAAAAGTTTCCCGTACAAGTTCAATCATGCTTAAGACACTTTTTTCTCAAAAGCTCTCTTTTAGATATTACCTTCTTATAAAATATTGTTATAGGATTTTATTCGAAAAAATATATCCCGCATAAAATAATGTTTCATTGCATATGATTTTAATTCGAAAGATAACGTAAGCAAACGCTATATAAACACAAGAAAGTAAATATTGCACCACCTGATTTTTGTGTGGCGGCATGGCCGAGTGGTTAACGCGTCGGACTAGTAATCTAATGATCGCTAGCTGCATGAGTTCAAACCCTGTCAGGGGCAAGGCGTTGTTTCATTGAGCAAGACACTTTACACATATTTCTCAGTATTTGTTGGTTCCAGGAACGGATTTGAAAGTGTATCTATAAGCTTATAGCTTCCTACACAATCGAACTAAATAAATTCTGTATTAACCAACACCTGATTTTTTTTAAATGTCATCTACACATTAATATATGCGTTAGCGTTCTTGTTCTCATTAAGTTCAAGGATTCCATCCTTGACAAAAGCAGGAAAATGTATGATTGGCATACTTTGTGCGATTACATGTATATCAAAGGGCCTTTTTTAAAAGGTTTTAGCCGGGTTCATATATATATTTGGCTTTTTATAAGGAAACACTAATCATACGATTTTGGTTACGACCATCGTTCCATCACCATTGGTATCGTTTTTGTCAAGAAAATATTACGTTTTGTTATACTGTCTTCCAAGAACCTACATAAATCCCCGGATCTAATTTGTCGAAACATTGTTTAACACAAGAAATTTACAAAAGATAAGGAATTGTCTTATGCATACTATACTGAAAGAAAAGGAAAAAATATTTCCCTGTATTAAAGTGAAGATATACACAAATATAAACATCAGGATTAAAATAAAATTATATAAAATGAAAGAGCTTTTTATTGTCATTTTTGTAAAAAATATTGCTTAGGACTATCCAGAAGAAGTGAAATGGTAGTTAAAATGTAAAAAGAGTTGGCTAACAAAATCATAAAATTAATATCAGATATAGCCTGGCCTCGTTTGCGCGTAGAACGGATCAGCGTATTGACTTCGGCTTGTGAAATGTTGTTAAAGCTTGTCTTAGCTTATGACTTGAAATAAGACTGATCAAATTTATCTCAAAGGTTTTCAATTGAATTTATAACAGGGCTTTTGGCAGGCCAGGCATCAGTAAATGGAATAGTATTTGCGCTAAGTAAACTGTGTCTCTAGCTGCATGGCTTGAAGCATTTTCATGTCTAAAAGAGTGGTATTAATGATATTTGAAACAGTACAATAACGTGCCTTGCAAACATTTCATTACGGTAGCGTTGGGCATATAACACTGCGAAAAATACACTAATATACGGGAATATACGGTCTCGTATTTTTAACATATATGGACGTGTACGGAACGTATTTGTCTAATATACGAGTCCGTATAGGGAACATCGGATATACGGTAAGTCCGAACATGGACCAGGTATATACCGACATCTGTTTTTGTTCCATACATGAACGTATATTTGTTCGTATTTTGTAGTATTCGGAGATAATATTCCGTTTACGGACTTTATCGGTGCCATTTACTCTAGTAAACTATAGATATACAGTTGATATACGAAACCGTATTTTTAGATATACAGGTTTGTATTTTCTACATGACATATACAGAGCATATGCGAAACGTATTTTCTATATATAAAGAGGATATTTTCTATATATACAGAGGATATAAGGAGTCGTATTTTCCACATATACATAGGATATATGGAATCGTAATTTTGATATATAGAGGGGATATATAGAATTGTATTTTAAAGCAATGCAGAGGGAATACTCAGCTGATTGTTTAGATATGAAAGTAGGGACAATATCATATATATGCATCAACATATGACCCGCGTTCATGACTGAAATACAAACTTGTACATGTTTGATTATACATTTTGACTTTATTATTTATTGGGAGTATTTGAAGTAATAAAGTTAAAACAAAATAAAAACTCACGTTTAAGTTAACAGTTTTTTATTCACTTATAAACATATAAACAATAGGTATGCATATATTATACAAAATAAAAATGTCTACGGGTAGCAACATACATCAAATGCAAGTCTGACACTAGAGAGACACATTAAGAGGTGCAACGATATAGTGATATACCGGTATATTATGATGCAGACGTACCGCGGTACAGAACCCGCGTACCGCGAATTGTCCGTCAATGATCAAAATATACATTTACATATTTCGACATTTTTAAGTCTTGCCGTCACATGTCGTTTAACTATACAAACTAAGTGTTCTTTTCTTTTTATCTTAACAATGATTTTTTCTGAGCCATTATTGTTACACCTCTTTTCAAAAGATTGTAAATATGAATTATTCGTGTTTACATTCTAATATAACTTCAGGACAAGGAGGAGTTATTAGCACAAATCTATTATGTAGATAGGTTTAAATAATGCTAATAAAAAACTCCGTACCCACAGGAATTTGTCATTCAAGCAATGTAATCAAAAGTACTAAAATATTTCAAATGAATCATCTTTAGAATAGGGTTCATCAATATGTTGCGTAAGTCATTGTGACGAAAACTTTTTTCGTGACGATATTATCATCTCCTTTAGCATGTGTGAAACTGAAAAAATTAAAATCATGTTTATATAGTGTCATGAAATGATTAGCAATATTTTTTTACAAAAAACATACAAAGTCTCAATTGATTTTTATATGCAATACATAAAAAGCATGTTTATATTATTAGGATAAAGGGGTAATTTACAAGCAACCCTTTTGTACACGATTTTAATGAAATAATTCATATATCACGGATGATCAGTAATACACATGTGCATGGGATTTTGGTATTTATCAGCTGACAATTCATCGTGCTGTCGTATGGTCAAGATCGTACTGTCACCATCGTACTGCCGTACTGCCATCATCGTACTATCGTACTCTCACTATCGTATTGTCGTACTGTCACCATTGTACTGTCAGTCTCTCACCATCGTATCCGCACCATCATACTGTCGTACTGTCACTATCGCATCGAAACCTAGATCTGGAATCCGTATTGACATCTATGTTTTATACACCATGCATAAAGTTTGCCAACGTTAAACGTTGATTTGCATTGAATGTAGGTTATGCCGGCTCGCCACGGCGAGCCGGTATTACGTTAGGATTTTACTGAGAAACAACCTAAAACTCCGAATCCATCCAAAAATTTAATCGAAGCTTGGCTTCCAGCTTTCTACAAAATTTATCTGTCAGGGCTGGAATCCAAAATTATTTAGCCAATCTTACATGGCGTCAAAAAACCTTCAATTTTAACGCCATTTTTAAAAAGCAGGAAGTAATGCTTTGAGTGCAAAGATATAATGATGATTAAAATGTTTATTTTCATGAATTCTTTTCAATAAATCATATTTACACTGACTTTTGATTTAGCGATTTCACCTGTTTTGACTTTAGTAAGTTTTCGTTTGGTTAATTAATATAAGTGTACATCTGGTTCTGTGCATTTGTTTCTTAATCTTTTTTTCCGGTCATTTTATCCTTTCCGGTATTTAGGATGGGGGAAAATCCCGGGATCCGGGACGCCCGGGATCCGGGATAGTACTAGATTAGTCCTATAAATATTACGTCGCTTTGAGATATTTTTGCTTCTGGGCAAAGCAACGTCATATCGAAATTGCTCAAAAACCCATAGCATGTTCTGCCAGAAAATCGGGCGGAACGAAAATCAATTAAGAGACAGTGTGTATTTACATTAGTTTTGACCTATTTATGAATAAAACTAAAAGATAAATACCTTTTGTCAAAATAATTTAACTGTCACATCCGAAAAATCATGATTTAATCCTCTCATGTATTTAAATTCATTTTACAGCCGATAAACAAATGGCGACCATACAGTGCGCGAAATTTGATTGGCTAATTCAAATGCAAGCGTTTAACTGAGACAGAACATTCTAACGAAATATTGTTTTAACGAAATAATTGCCCATGCACCGTCAGTGTGTTCGAATATATTTTTCCGTTCAAAAATTTGGAATTAATCTGTAAAGCACCTTGCTGAACCAGTATGGCTGATAAGCAAGAATATGATGATGTTTATAATTTATTTTAAATGTTTGAGAGTGTTTGTGTATGATTGAGCATGAAATTGAAAGAAAAGAAGATAAGCTTTTGAATAAAGCTTGAAAGGCAAGACAATAGACATTTTTTTTATTTTTTTATGATTCTATGCGTTTTGGGCAATAACTATTAGACGTCAGGCTTGACCGACATAAAACTTTAACAAGCCTGTAGTATTAGATATATAGGGAAAAGGAATAAACTATATTTGCTTTGATTATTGTCGTAATGAAAGGCGATTAAATGATAACTTTTTATTTTTTATTGTATGTAGTGAATGGTAAATTAATTTAACTTAAGATTTAAATATATTTAGAGCTCTTTATTAATAAACTTAAAATGCGGAAATCGCAATACCTGTAATTATATGCCTAGTTGAAAAAAAATCAAAGTTTTTGTTAATATAATATTTGGCTAAATTTTATGTTCATGTATTTAGATATTATTTTTAGAAAAGATCATAAGATACAATTAACATAATTGATAACAAAAAAGATTTTCTCAATCCAAATTGATTTCAAAGTGCTGCATTAAGATAGATACAAATGCTTTTCAGCGTTGGTTACACGTTACCTTATGATTGATCTGCGGTCATTTTAAGCCTGTCACAAGTCCAAA